TCTTTACCTGGTCTGGCCTACATGTGACACCAGGCCCACAAAAAAGTGGTTAACTCTTCACTGCCCTCTGGGCAATGAGGAATGGGTAATTAAATGCTGGCTTGCCCAGCAATGCTCACATCCCATGAATGAATATAAAACAAAGACTCAAGACTAGCCAAAGGTAGATGCCTCAGAAATGATATAAGTCTATCTTCAGAAGAGAAGCAGGGAGGAAAAATGTTTAGCTGTAGGTATTTATTCCAAGATGCTGAGTGATGCTCCTGGTTTGCAGGAAATGGGATGCCTATTCATTAACTGTTAAGTATGGTGCCAGGATCTTTGACCCCAAAATATAACACTAGGAACTTTGACTAGAAGCCATCGCCTGCCATAAGATTCACTAGGTTTCTCATGCACGTATGTGTACTGATAAGCATGCAAGAAAAATTGACCCAGCTCACAGCGTTTGTCAAAGTTATGTCTGAAATGGAAGATTCCACCAGACATACAGCTCACAACATTTTCTACCATTATCCTTTTAAAATCATACATTCTCCATTAAAAAGACCTGGAAAGTTACTATTTCTTTATGCACTGTGTGCAGAGGAAACATTTTTTTTCCCATGTTGCCTCTCATGGTATTTTAGTATTTGTTCCACCCATTTACTAAATCTATTTTGGAACAGAATCTGTTTCAGAACCAATGAATGTAATTGTTAAAGTGTCATATCAAAGGTTATTGTGGAAAATAAAGGTCATGGTTTTGGTCATAACACATTGGCATGGGTAGAAGATTGGTTGGCTAACAGGCAGCTGGGTGGAGGAATAAATGGGTATTTTTCTGACTGCCAGGATGTCCTGAGTGGTGTGTTATGGGGATCAGTGCTAGGCCTCATCTCCTTACAATTTATATATATATGATTTGGATGAAGGGACCAAAGGTATGGTAGCTAACATTGCTGATGGCACAAAGGTAGATAGGAGAGTGAATTGTGAAGAGGATATAGATAGGTTAAATGTATCTGGCAAATGGAGTATAATGTATGCCATTTGTCCATTTTTGACAGAAAGAATAAAAGAAGCATATTATTTAAATGGCGAGTGACAGAACTCTGAGATGCAGAGAGATCTGCATGTCAGGGTGCATGAATTGTAGAAGATATAATAAGTAACCAGAAATGCTAATAGAATGTTACTAAGGTTTTGGAGTAGATTTGTAGCTCGGGTTGTGGGTGTTGAGGTTGGTTGGCCTGCCGAGCTGGTTTGTTGTTCCGCAGACATTTTGTTACCATGTTGGGTAACATCATCAGTGCAGCCTCCGATGAAACATCGGTGTTGTTTCCCAGCTGTTTTTTAAACTCTGGAGTCCGTTGAGCTGGATTGCCTCACTTCCGGTTTTCCTTCGTAGTGGAATGTATATGGGGTTGAGTTCTATGTGTATATTAATGGCTTTCTTCGTGGAGTGCCAGGCTTCTAGGAATTCCCGTGCCTGTCTCTGATTTGCTTGTCCCAGGATTTTGGTGTTGTCCCAGTCGAATTGGTGGTTCTCCTTATCCATGTGGATAGAGATGAGTGAGTATTGGTCATGTCTTTTTGTAGCCAGTTGGTGTTCGTGTACCCTTGTTGTTAGTTTCCTTCCTGTTTGTCCGATGTAGTGTTTCTCACAGTCTCTGCAGGAGATCTTATAGATGACATTGGTCCTGGCCATGGCGTGGAGTGGGTCTTTATTTCGGGTGAGCAGTTGTCATAAGGTTGATGTGTTTTTTTTCTGCCAGGGAAATTGAATGCAAAAGGAGACATGCTTCAGTTATATAGGGCATTGGTAAGATTGCATCTGGTGTATTTGTACAGCACTGATCACCATACTTATAGAAAGATGTTAGTGCATTAGAATTAGTTCAGTAAAGGTTTACCAGACTAATACCAGGAAAGAGTAGATTGCTGATAAAAAATGGAACCTACAAGGGAGCAAGCTATCCTAGATCTAGTCCTGTGTAATGAGACAGGAATAATTAATGATCTCACAGTTAGGGATCCTCTCGGAAGGAGCGATCACAATATGATCGAATTTAAAATACAGATGGAGCGTGAGAAGGTTAAATCCAGTACCTATGTCCTGTGCTGAAACAAAGGAGACTATGAAGGAATGAGGGAGGAGTTAGCTAAGGTAGAATGGGAGCAAAAACTTTATGGTCGGTCAATTGAGGAACAGTGGAGGACTTTCAAAACGATTTTTCGCAGTGCTCAGCAGAAGTATATTCCAGTGATAAGGAAGAACTGTAGGAAAAGAGAGAGCCAGCCATGGATGTCTAAGGAAATAAAGGAAAGTATCAGATTGAAAAAAAACACATACAAAAAAGCAAAAAGTAGTGGGAAACTAGTAGACTGGGAAATCTTTAAAGGCCAACAGAAAGCCACAAAAAAAGTTATAAAGTAAAGTAAGATAGATTATGAGAGTAAATTAGCTCAGAATATAAAAACAGGCAGCAAAAGTTTCTATACATATGTAAATTGTAAAAGAGTGGCGAAGGTAAACATTGGTCCTTTAGAGGACGAGAAGGCCAATTTAATAACTGGGAATGAGGATATAGCCGAGACATTAAACAGTTACTTCGTGTCGGTCTTCACAGTGGAAGACACAAATAACATGCCGAAAACTAACGGCAAGAAGGTTAAAGCAGGCGAGGACCTAGAAACCATCATTATCACTAAGGAGGCAGTGCTGGGCAAGCTAATGGGGCTAAAGGTAGACAAGTCTCCTGGCCCTGATGAAATGCATCCCAGGGTACTAAAAGAGGTGATGGGGGAAATAACAAATGCACTAGTAATTATTTACCAAAATTCATTTGACTCTGGGGTGGTTCCCGCAGATTGGAAATCAGCCAATGTGACGCCACTGTTTAAAAAAGGAAGTAGACAAAAAGCAGGTAACCATAGGCCAGTTAGCTTAACTTCGGTAGTGGGGAAAATGCTTGAATCTATCATTAAGGAAGAAATAGCAAGACATCTGGATATAAATTGTCCCATTGGGAACACCCAGCATGGGTTCATGAAGGGTAGGTCATGTTTAATTAATTTGGTGGAATTCTTTGAGGACATTACTTGCATGGTGGACAATGGGGAACCTGTGGATGTGGTGTATCTGGATTTCTAGAAGGCATTTGACAAGTTGCCACACCAAAATCTGATACATAAGATTAAGTTGCACGGTATTAGAGGTAATGTATTGGCATGGATAGAGGATTGGTTGACCAGTAGAAAGCAAAGAGTAGGGGTAAATGGGTGTTTTTCTGGTTGGCGGTCAGTGGCTAGTGGTGAGCCTCAGGGATCAGTGTTGGGACCGCAATTGTTTACAATTTACATAGATGATTTGGAGTTGGGGACTAAGTGTGGTGTGTCAAAATTTGCAGATGACACTAAGGTGAGTGGTAGAGCAAAGTGTGCAGAAGACAGTGAAAGTCTGCAGAGGGACATAGATAGTCTAAGTGAGTGGGCAAAGGTCTGGCAGATGGAGTACAATGTTGATGAGTGTGAGGTCATCCATTTTGGTAGGAATAACAGGAAAATGGACACTGTTTTAAATGGTAAAAAATTGCAGCACGCTGCTGTGCAGAGAGACTTGGGTGTCCTTGTGCATGAATTGCTAAAAGTAGGATTGCAGGTGCAGCAGGTAATTAAAAAGGCGAATGGAATTTTGTCTGTCATTGCTAGAGGGATGGAGTTTAAAAACAGGGAGGCTATGCTGCAGCTGTATAGAGTCCTGGTGAGGCCACACCTGGAGTACTGTGTGCAGTTTGGTCTCCTTACTTGAGAAGAGATATACTAGCACTGGAGGGGGTGCAGAGGAGATTCACTCAGTTGATTCCAGAGTTGAGAGGGTTGGATTATGAGGAGTGACTGAGTAGACTAGGATTATACTCATTGGAATTCAGAAGAATGAAGGGAGATCTTATAGAAACATATAAGATTATGAAGGGAATAGATAAGGTGGAGGCAGGGAGGTTGTTTCTGCTAGCAGGTGAAACTAGGACTAGAGGGCATCGCCTCAAAATAAAGGGAAGCAGATGTAGGACTGAGGTCAGGAGGAACTTCTTCACCCAAAGGGTTGTGAATCTGGGGAATTCCCTGCCCAGTGAAGCGGTTGAAGCTACCTCGCTGAATGTTTTTAAGGCAATGCTGGATAAATTTTTGAACAGTAAAGGAATTAAGGGTGATGGTGAGTGGGCGGGTAAGTGGACCTGAGTCTCAAAAAGATCAGCCATGATCTTATTAAATGGCGGGGCAGGCTCGAGGGGCCAGATGGCCAACTCCTGCTCCTAGTTCTTATGTTATGTTCTTATGCCTTACAAGGAAAGGCAAGACAGGCGAGGCCTGGAATGTAGAAGAGTGAGAATTTAATTTAAACATGAGATCCTTAGGGCCTTGACTGGGTGTACGTGGAAAGTATGTTTCCTTTTGTGGAAGAATCTACAACCAGGAGTATCGTTTAAAAATGAGGATTAAAGGCAGAGATGTGGATTTTTGGAATTCCCCTCCTTAAATGGCACTGAATGCAGAATATTTTTCAAGGTGAGACAATTTTTGATTACCAAGGGATTAAAGAGCATTGGGGTAAAAAGGAATATAGAATCGAGGTTGAGATCAGCCACAGAAGTAGCCTACTGTTGTGTGTTTGTTCGTATTTCACTCTCTGTAAACTGAACTACCAGAAAAAAAAGTGAATGGCGATTCCCTCAGATTGTTCGTGAGAAACACATGAAAAAGGAAAGTTTCAGCAACTCTGTAGCAGGTGCAGTAGCGGCGTCCGGCCAGCAGGTAGCGCATATAAAGGCGGGGCCAGTATTTGACTGACAGGCTGACTGTCCAATCAGCGGTTTGAGGGGAACCGGTGTGGGTGACCAATCGGGGGGGG